TGGGGGGGGGGGGGGAAATCAGAATTCTGAGTGAACATATTGCAAATCTCACTTTTTTGCCTCCCTCAGGGTTCCCACTCTTTCATGAACACCAGATTCAAGTACTTTCAAGAAGCGTGGGAACCCTGCTCCCTGAATTGAGTGTTTCAAGATTCAGATTTTTTTAATCTCACAACTGTGTGTGCTGTACAAAAAACAATTGCATTTGAGTTTTTATCTTGCAATTGTGTGTTTATTCTTGCAGTATTGAGTTTCTCACACAATTCCGTTTTTTTTCTCCACAGAATTGCAAGAAACACAATTGAGGAATATATATATATAAAAACAAAAAAAATATCCATGGTGGAAACAAGCTTCCTTAAACTGCTCCCTCTATTGGTCAATCGTTTCAGCTCATGTACAAGCGTCACACTTACCATCTCCACAGCTATCACCTTCTGGCTTTGCCGTTCCACACCTGTTGCATTCGTATCTTCTAGCGAAGTTCATGTTGCCACAAGAGCTGCAAGAGATGGTTTAGCAATAAATATAATTGGAAGTCAGATCCCTCTCAAACACATTCACAAATAACTACATGCACCGAACCTGTTGGGACAAGGCCAGTCTCCACCCTTGACATCAAACGAGGGACCTCCACCAAAGCTACCTCTGCCTCGAAAACCTGGGAGCACAAACAGCAGAAATATGAGTTGCAAAACAACTGACTGGTCTTATCCAAGCAGAGTAGAGTCAGATTTACGAATCATACCACCACCGCGTCCTCCTCCTCGTCCTCCTCCTCCACCTCCCCCTCCTCCTCCTCTCTGGGTGAATTCAGCTCTTCTGGTAGCAAACGACACCTTGATGGCTTTTCCTTTGAACTCTTTTCCTGTAATCCAGCAAAACAAAGCAGCTCCATTTATTTGAATGCTATTGAAGTCAAAGAGACAGCAGGGATGACTCTCTTACCATCAAACCAGTCAATGGCAGCTTTGGCTGAGGGAGGATCGTCAAAGGACACCGTGGCTTCACCCTTCAGTCGTCCGGTGGCTTTATCAGTGTACAGATTGATCATAGGACTGCCGGTCTTCTTATTGACCTGTCATTAGAGCAGATTTAGTGTAAACCAGGATCCTTCAGGGCTGCCTTTCCCAAAAGCATCATAAGCTTAAGTGCATCTTAGACCTACTGAAACCAATGGAGCCACAATCGACTTAAGCTTACGATGCTTTTGGGAAACACAGCCCTGGTGTGTGAAGTTCATGACCGTCAGGCGAGTAAACTTGCCTTAATGATTCCAATTTGTTTGAAGTAGTCACCCACTTCCTCAGTAGTGACGTCTTCACTGAGACCTTGGACAAAGATGGTGTTATTGTCAGAGTTATCCTGATTGCCATCTGTAATTGGGAGAAGAAACACATATTGGAGTTGAGACGATCACAATATTTACACCATGCTTAACACACACACACACACACACACACACACACAAAAAAAGGACTATTTAAATATGAATCCTGCATGTTCTGCGTCTGAAGCATGCATGGCATTCAGTGTTTTCAGCCTCTGCAGTCTCACTATATGAGAACAAACAAATGAACAACATTCCCAAAGCTGCTCTGGGAGTCATTTCATGAGCATTTCATATGGAGAGAGAAAAAAAAAAAAAAAACACACCGTCACCTCATGTACAAACAAAACTCTTGACAGCAACCAGTCAAAATAAAAGTTTGATTTGACTTGAAATTGACAAGTATATAACTGTTGTACAGCAGATGCATGCCTTAATGTATTGATACAATTACTACATTTTTATATTGATTAAAATAAATTGTTTTATGCCTTCATTTCATTATTAGAAAAATGTAAATAAAGAATTGGGGAAAAAAAAACAAAAAACTCAGAGCCCTATTTAAAAAATCAATCAATAATAATAAATCTTTGATTAATTATTTTTCAAATTTAATTAAATTTAAATTGAATAGAGCAATATTATTTAAGTATAAAACTTAAATCATTTTAACTTATAAAAAAAAATTTCATAAGGGCCTTAAAAGTAATCTGATAAGAATTTCATAAATACTAGTTTAATTTTATGGGTTTCATGATTTCAATTAATTAGACATGCTTTTTAATTACTAAAGTTTCACTTAACCATTAAACAAAAAATCTGAAATATTAAATAGAAATAAGGGGAATCCAGCAAAAAAAAAAAAAGACGACTTCATAAGAGCCCTCAATGCCTTCATGCCAACTCAAATAAAATCACTGCTTTCTCTCTACGATGTTCACACTTTGAACTTTAAGGTGAAGTGTTTTCTGCACTCACCCCCATCATCCTTCTGACTGTAGTCTCTGGCTCCTGAAAAACAACAAGACACGAAAGGGAAACACCACTTTGAGAACTTGAGAAATAACATGAAGTCATGAACTTTTATTTAACTTAGTCTATGAACAATTAATAAAAACCAAACTGCTTTGCTATGTAGATTTGACCTTTACAAGTGACAGTTTACTCTATGCACCAGTGTGTCCAAAACTGCTGCACCATTTCCAATACCTTTGTACACCAGAAGAGATTTTCGGTGAGACTAGCAAAATTAAATGAGAAGTATTCATCTAAATCACGTCTCATCTTCACCATGTGCAGTTGGCATCCAGAACACTGGCATTTAATTCAATTTCCTCATGCAAGAAGACCATCTTATAGAGTAAATCTGGGTAGCTGTTAGACTTTAGCCCACAAGAGCATTACCAGAGAGGACAGCAATAAAGACAATAAGGTGATGTTCCTTTGGGTTGACATAAAATGGTGGCTCAAGAGCTCATTTGTCAGCTAATCTTTGTTTCTTTTTATTTCTTTTTTTAAAATCTCCTTTCCCCCACTGAGACAGATGCTCATCACTTACCACCGTAATTTTTGTAGCCACCACGGTCACCACCACTGCAGAGGAAAAATTGAAGATATGATGGCTTTCCATTGTTGAAACCTGGGAGCGCAAGGCTCCCTCTTTACCAGTATTCCTTTCATGGTTTACTACTGAGGAGGAAACGGCTCCCATTGACGGATAGGTTAAAGATGATGGGCCAAATGTACATGAAACATTGCAAATTGAAACCAAAGGAGGCAAGCCTCTTTCCCAATTAGAATTGCTTTTTTCTGATTGAACGTCAAGATTTGATGCGACTAAAACCAGAGAAGAGCACGGAGGACAACCTCCCTGCTCCCTCTCGAGTTCTTCATCAAGAATTTACTCTAGATTTGAGCGTCTAACTGTTGTGGCACTCGTGTAGACGAGCACACATTTTCCTTCCATTATGAGTGCTTATGAGCTCCAATGGCTGAGGTCCAACTTTAATTTCACTCACTTTGATACCTGTAGTATAAAATGTAGACCGGTTAAGACAAAGAAACAACACTGTACAGACACCGATTCATGTGGAGCGACTGAGAACTGTTCCTTGCAGCAGAACTTTCCAATGTGAACACTCTTCCAAAGGGAAGGAGGGAAAACTGATGGAGACTAGTGCTGGGCGGTATGACCAAAAATTTATATCACGGTATTTTTCAAAATTATACCGGTTTCACGGTACATGACGGTATTTTTTTTTCATGCATGACCGGGTGTTAACCATATTTTCTACTGATTGATTGACGAGTCGGCTGCGGTGCTTCTCTGCCGCTCACTGCACAGAACAGACGCCGAGAGAGGTGACACTTGTCCCGGAAAGCCAGACCTCGTGTTCACGGGACAGCACTGGCGAAATCTTCCAACTGAACCATAGCTAAGGTTTATACAAAAAAGTCGCTAGGTTTGTCAGTATGAATATTCTATGGAAAAAAGCCGCTAAAAGGGTTTGAAATTTGCTAAATCTAGTGCTAAAAACGGGCTCGTGTGTGAGAGACGCGGGAGCTGATGGCAGGGGGCCGTGGATATTTGTGGCGGTCAATGTGGATATTGTGGATGAGTTCTTCTGTGTCATCACGTTCTATTAGTTCTACAGCTTCAGTTTCTGAACTTTCACACTTAGTAACACATGCAGCTGTTCCCTCACCACAGTGCAACAGTGAAAACTGGCCCCTATCAAACAGTGTCGCGTTCCGAACGTTGTTTAAGCGGCATACCGCGGCATTTTAAAAATTCATATAACAAAAATAAACACCGGTATTCGGTATGAACCGGTATAGCGCCCAGCACTACTGGAGACCAGAAGAAACGAGCTCTAAAAACTGCATTTCAACCAGGTTCCAAATCTGCATTAAAGGCTTCAGTGGAAACTTAAAGACTGTTTTGCCTTTTCTTCAAAATTAGAATTTAATTCAAAAGGAAACCCGAAAAATGCATAAAAAAAAAAAGTGGACAAAATGCATTACTTGGGGCTCTCCTACACAATGTCAAGATTAGCCAGGCTTCCGATCAATTCTCATGTTTAGACTGACCTAAATCAGACTTTAAGCTCTTACCGATTCTAGAGCAGATGAAACCTTGAGGGAAAATATCCACAGATGTGACAATTATGCAAATCTTTGTGTTTTTAGCTATACCGTCCTATATGTGATGCATGGAGAGTAACCTTACTGTTTTAGCCTAAATGCTATTTATAAGCATCATGCAACTAACTACAATAAAGTTAATAACATTCCATTGGGTGGAGTGTCACTTTATAGAAACAAACAGATGGAGGGTCCATAAAGAGAACAACCAGTTCAGATAATAAAAGTAGACAAACCTCCTCTTGTGGTATAAGAAAAAATATTTGGTTTATCCACAGATGAAAAAAAAAAAAAACTTTTCAGGCCTATGTGCATTGTTGATTTTTAACAGTGTGTGGTGATACCTTCTGGGATGGGCAGACTTACCCCATACCGGAGGGTGGGCCGCCGCGGCCACCTCTGTCGTAGCTTCCGCGGTCATAACCCCCACGACCTCTGCCCCTGAAACCCTCCGACCTGTCCGAGCCACCGTCATCGCCAAACCTCCGGCTATCACCTGAGGAGAAGGGGAGAGACGCGGTTTTGGATTTGCTGCCAAACATTAAAACCTGGTTTCACAGGGCACAGGTTAAGCCAAGATTAGGCCATAGATTAATTAGGACACAAGTATCTTTTATAAACAGGCCTTAAAGGGTTAGTTCACCCAAAAATTACCTCAAACGTCATCCTCCCGGAGCTGCTTCTGTGTACAACAGTGAGCGCAAGCTAGATTAAAGTGATTATTATTAAGTTTTGAATATGGATATTTTTCTTACGAAAACGCATCGTTTCGTTACAGGAGGCCTTTGTTTACCCCCCCCCCCCCGGAGCCGTGTGATGCACTTTTTATTATGGATGCATGCGCTTTATTTCACTTCTTTTGGACTGATGCACTGCAACACCCGCTGACTGCCATTAAACAGCTTGGAAGATCAAAGACCATTTTTAATATAACTCCGATTGGATTAATTTGAAAGAAGAAAGTCATACACCTAGGATGCATTGAGGGCGAGTAATTCATGGGCTAATTTTTATTTTTGGGTGAACTAACCCTTTAAAACACACACACACACACACACACACTCTACTGGTGTGCATCTTGATAAAACAATAGCATAGATATGCACGATATTGGATTTTCGCCAATATCCGATATATCGATATTTTTCCAACTCATTTTGGCTGATACCGATATATTTCCCTTTGTTTTGAAACAACACCAGGTCTCTCCTGTACAGAGATTATAAACAAATTATTTTTAATTTTGGTTAGTTAAAAACTTACTTGATAGAATTAAATAATCGATTAATGAAGTCCTTCAATAATGAGTGCACACTGAAACCAACTATAAATCAATCACTGCTTTTTTCCCCCCACAGACAAATGCAGTGGTAATCTTAACATTTTATCTGAAGATTTAACAATTATAGATGGTCTAAAGCAAAAGAGTTGAGAAAAAAAAGTTCTGAAAATCTTTTAGAGCTCCTTGTATTTAAGTTCATAATCCATTTGAAAAAAAAAAAACATTACACATGACTAAAATCTGTATATATAAAATTACTTAATTTACAAGTGTCATGTTTGTGATTTTTATTTATGTAAGCTATAGCTTCTGACCTTTAATTCAAAGCATACTTGTAATTTTATGAAGTCGAGTACTGCTTTATTAAATCAGAAACAATCTTAACGTTATTGGTGTATTTAACTTTAATTTTATTATAAGAAGGCCAATAGCACCCCCTAAATAAATAAAATGTCTTTCCGGACCTGAGGGAGGCTGCTGCCGCTGCATGTGTTATTGACAGTTTACTCTACTGTACAAAGGACACGTCAGTCTGTACATGCATTTTTCGATTAAATGCAGTGATCCAAAAAAGTTAATCCAATCATCACTCAGGCAAACGTTTGCTTCAAGAATGACTACACTGCTGAAGTCTTATCACTATCACACCCTGAGCACGTGAGCTATTCATTTTATAGGAAAGGCATATCGGCATAGTTTTTCATATCGGGCCGATGCCGAGGTTTACATTTTAAGCCATGATTGGCTGAATCCGATATTGTTCTAAGGGCACTTGCATAGATCAGTCAATGCAAGTTTCTTTCAGTTAAAACAGCCCAGACATATTTTAGTCTGGGACTAGGCTTAAGCAACTTAAAAAAAAAAAAAAAAAAGATCTGGATCCAAGTCTATGCAAGATATGAAGCAATAAATTACAAAATTACCTTCATTGCGTCGCGCATATCCACCTTGAGACCCCCCGTACGCTCCTCCGCCAGCACCTCCTCCTGACTGCTGTCCATAAGATCGCTGCTGTCCATACGACTTATCACCATAACTGCAGTGAGACAATGGAAGAGGATTGACAATTATGGGAGGGTAACAACTAGGGGTCGAACTAGGGGAACGACTTCTGATTTTAAAATTTTATGTGATGAAAGTCGAGTCGAAGTCGACTAGTCGCGGATGACATCATTAATGAACAAATAAGTCTGGGGCTGTGACAAACACCTTGTGCACAGCTATGGCATATGACACCGCGCTGCCCACATGGCTATTGCTCCTATAACAGCTCATTTTTATCAGTTCTTTTGTCTTTGGGTCGTTGTATTTCTCACAGATTTCTGCTCGTTCTAAATCGGATACCCAGGGATTAAAGTTCCGCCGCTTTAGTTCATAAAGACAGTCACTTGCTTCATTCCTGAATGATTCAGCCGTTCGAACGAATCAATTGAATGAATGATTCGGTGATAAATTGCCACCACCTGCTGGCCGATTTAGTTTAATTTTTAGCATATAATTTCAGTTATTTGAATCATATTTCTGTATTCAATTTTATATTTAAAATGTGAAAGTTCAATTTCGAGCATCCAGTAATATAATCTCACATGTAGACTTGTGCCGGTATTCGGTAATGCGATATATCACGGTAATGAATATGCACTATATTGTTATCGTGGGCACTTCTAAATACCGTGAATAATTATATATTACAAATTATTCAGAATTTTGAATGCATTTTAAGAATACTTTTCCCATCAACTGGTCAAAATGCACAACACTGCTGTATGCTGCGTGAAAGACGTGCGCACTCTGATGTAAACAAGCGCGGAGGAGAAGCACATGGCGGAACACGTGAGACGCTCTGGATGAAAGCGCACTTGCATTAACTAAGGTTAACTAATGAGGTCTTATTGTAAAGTGATACCTATTGGTCTTTATAGTTCTTTTGCACTTTAATCCGTGTAAAACTTATACATTTATACAGTATATTATACATTAACTTTATACATTTTTCTGTATTGCTTTATTGCATTTAAATGTTCAGTTATTTTTGTTATAAGAAAAAAGTTATTAAACCTGTTATACTGTATTATGACAACTTTTTTAAAACAAAATTTCAATACCGTGACAATACTGTATACCGTGATAAAAGCATTAGCAATTAATCGCAACATGAGTAATATAATCACATGTCTTGTGGAGCGCTTTCAGAGTATGCATTTATTTGTCATTTGAACTGTTTGGAAACGGGGCGTAAATGTGGAAGTCCTTCAAAGATTTATTATCCTGTTGCGCCCTCTATAGGACCAGATACTAGTCAACGTCAAGCTTAAAGAGTCATGGCAGAGCACTGAATTTGACGAGTCGATTAGTCGGTGCAACCCCTAGTAACAACAGATTTTCTGGTGCATCATGATCCTTGTTGACCGTTCAAAGATGCTGGTCCCGCTGACAGCAGCCAAAAGACCTTGTGGCTAGGGATGCACCGATGTATCGGCCGCTGATATTTATCTGCCGGTTTTTGATTATTTTAAAGCCATCGGCATATTGGAAATAGCATGAAAAGGGCAGATACCAATGGTTTATTAATTAACTGCATGGAGACAATGAGTTGCATGTCTGTTGCATAATCCAACGTTTTTCTCTGGGCAAAA